TTCCTGCTGTTTTGAATGGGTCTCTTGTTTTAGGGATCTGGCCACACCGTACAGGAGGTACGACTGGTAATAAAAGAACAGTGGTTTTTGTCAATGAGAGGTAATTGTTAGGAGGCAATCCCCTGATGGCTGCGTTAAATATCCATGGGAGAGCTAGGAGAAGGTGAGCTCCCTCCCCACCCACCCCCAACTGAAGGGACGAGGCCAATGCTTGAATGTGTGAATGAACAGCAGGTTGAGTTTAACAAGGTAAAGGCTCCCTTGCTCGAAAGCCAGTCGAATCCGACTCTAGGGTTGTGGTGCTCATCTCCGTTTCAAAGCTGTCTGAAGACGTCTCCGTGGTCATGTGGCCGGCATGACTAAACACCAAGGCGCACGGAACGCTGTTCCCTTCCCACCGAAGCGGTACCTATTTATCTACTTGCAATTTCTTGCTTTCGAGCTGCTAGGTTGGCAGGAGCTGGAACTAGAGACGGGAGCTCACTCCGTCATGCGGCAACTCGGGGGTCTCGATCTGCTGAACTACTGACCTTCCACAGCCTGCAGTTCAGCGTCTTAACCACTCGAGCCACCGCAGCTCTTGAGTTTAACTGGGAACAGTCAAAAGAGAGAAATGGAAATCTCCAGTGGGGATGGAGTGCCAGAACCAAACGTCTGAACTGGAATCATAGTGCTCAGCAATGCCAGTTAATTGCTGGAGATACCACCCTGTTAACGTGACTGAGCGGCTTTAACCAAAGAAGAAGAAGAAGAAGAAGAGAAGAGATTGGATTTATACCCCGCCCTTCACTACCCAAAGGTGTCTCAGAGCGGTTTACAATCTCCTTTCCCTTCCCCTCCCCACAACAGACACCCTGTGAGGTGGGTGGGGCTGAGAGAGCTCTGACAGAAACTGCTCTTTTTCAAGAACAGCTGTGCCAGAACTATGGCTTGCCCAAGGTCATCCAGCCAGGTGCAAGTGGAGGAGTAGGGAATCAAACCCGGTTCTCCCAGATTAGAGTCCGCGCACTTAACCACTACACCAAACTGGCTCTCAAAGCCATTAGTCTTTGCCGTGAGTGCTGGCTGAAGCAATCAAAGGTACAGTCTCTGTCTCTCTCGCTTTCTCTGGGGATCTGATGGAGGGGGAAGCCACCCAAATAAGTGTTAGCCTTTTGAACTTATCAGTTGGAGAAGTGGGTGAGTATAAATGGCATTAAAGTAGCATAAGGGAAGAATGATATGATCATATGAAAACACCTGCTATAGACATGCACTTACCAATCCATAAAGATTTCTATGTCCTGTAAGAGAAAAAGGAGAGGGGGGGGGGGACCCTGTTCACTAACCAACATTCTTTAAAACATATATTTATTTATTTGATTTATATCCCGCCCTCCCCACGAAGGCAGGTCCCTCAGGTAAGCAGGTCCCTGACCATATAGGGCTTTAAAGGTCAAAACCAGCACCTTGAACCGAATCCGGTATGCTATTGGCAGCCAGTGCAGCCCTTTTGGGGCGGGCTGGATGTGCTCCCGCGCAGGAAGGCACAGCAACAGCCTCGCCGCTGCATTCCGCACCAGCTGCAGCTTCCGGATCTGGGACAAGGGCAGCCCTATGTAGAGATCATTGCAGTAATCCAATCTCGAGGTGAGCATTGCGTGGCTCACTGTCGCCAGGTCATTGTGTTCAAGGAAGGGAACCAACTGCCTAATCAGCCGTAGATGGTAAAAGGCAGACTTTGCAGTGGCTGCTACCTGGGCCTCCATCGTTAAGGAGGTGTCCAGGAGCACTCCCAAGCTCCTAACCTCCGTCGCTGGCACCGATGGCGCCCCATTGAAGGTCGGGAGTGGGATCCCTAACCTTGGTCCACTCCAACTCAGGCACAAGACCTCCGTCTTCGTCGGATTCAATTTCAGTTGACTCAGCCTAAGCCAACCAGCCCGGCGTGTGTGCATAACCCAGCAAACAAAGTGGCTGGTTTTCAGGGTGCAAAAAAGGCTGATCTTTCCTCAAAACCCACAAGCACAAAATGAAGACAAATGGCCTTCCCTGCTGTTTGTCCTCCCTCCATCACAGCAACTGCTACTTGGTGGTATACTGCCACCAAACATGGAGGGTCTGTTTGGCTAACAGCCATTGACAGAGGCAACTGTATCCCCCACCCCCCACCCCTTTAGTTTGCTTGGACAGTTTATGAACAATCCAAGAAACAATACTTGGGACAAAGGTGTGCTTGTCAAGTCTGGGTTCCTTACTTTTAGAAAGTTAGCAGAATTCTGCTGGTACAGCCGGGACTGAATGAGCCCCAACGTATGCTTAGCATTCTGAGAGTGATCTTGGAGTCGGTTTGAATTTGCCTCCATTTCCTGGAGAAGGGTTTCACTATCTTCCTTTAATTGTTTGATGAACATTTTCTCCTTGGCATGAAGAAACTGGTGCAGTTTTAGGAATTCCAAGGAGATGTGGTATTGAAGTTGCAACTTGTTCTCCTGGAAAAGCAGATTAGAAAATTTATTAGGCATGAAATGTATTTGGTGAAGAGAGCAACATGCATGTCTTTGTTTTTTAATAGTTAATCTGCTACCTGTCTTGTAGGAGTTCTAAAATGGCAAAATTTGCTTAGGGGAAAACAAAGTGGACTTTGGTGTATGTTTCCTATGTCCTACAGTAGGAGCAATCAAGAGAAAGTTAAGGTTTTCTAATCTGTGTATTCTTATTGGACACCATCTGCGTGACCCCAAATTTGGCAAGATTCCTTCAATCAACTTTGCAGATTACAGGTGCAGATTACAAGTGCCTTAGCACGGGTTGCACATAGCTGCTATGTGATTTGTGTGTGATTTAGGTACATGAAATTAGGCATATTGGGACTCTGAAAACACAGTAAAAGCAATGATGCCCTTTTATCATATTGATTTAAAAGTGACATGGGACCAAACCACTCTTGATGCTGGGAATCTGTGTTTAGATCCCCAGATGTATAATTAAAACTGACCAAAAAAACAAAAACAAAAAACAAACAAACCAAAAACCAAAAAACAAAAACCCGCAGCCATGGATGGAGGCCGATATGGATTAAGACCGCAATGTTATCTTTATCGTGTCTCTTTTTTTTCTCCTCCTGGGTGGCACTTAAAGCAGCCCTGGAAGAGGCATTTGTGATTGGCAAAACAGTGAGTAGGGTCTGGGGAGGATCTGAGGGTCACCAAGGAGGAGGCAAAGTGGACTGCCCTTGGGGAGGAAATCTAGAATTTCGGTGCCATGCCAGAAAAGGCCCTGTCCTGTGTAACTACCCCTCTATCACAGACATACAGAATCATATAGCAAAATCTGATAACCAAAGTATACAGGAGCAAGCATCTCTGCATGGGAGCAGGCAATATCCAAAACGCCCTGGACACAAGGCTAGGAATATGTAAGGCTATATATGTCTCTTACGTTTGTTATAGTAAAATATCAGATATAAAGAAAGTTGGGATAAATAAAGATATTCTAATAGAGGTGAAAAATCAAGAGTATATATAAACAAGCTTTGATAAGTATATATACTGTGTGATTTAGATAATTGCTGCCTATATTTAAGATATAATTGTAGTTTATGTTTAAGCTACGATTTGGATACAGCAGATGATTGTATCTGATTATTGCAGATGGCTATCTGCACTCAGACCATGAAGATCTTAGAGCATGGCTTAGTGCTTTTAAGCCTAGAATATGTATCATCTTTGCCATAGAAGCGGGTGGATTGCTGTTTTCTCTCTAACAAGACACTTATTACTCAGTATAGAGGAAGACCATTGATCCTAGATTACAGCAGTTGGACATTACATTAGAAGAAATTCTCCAGCTGGGTAAGGCAGAGACTCTCAATATTGTTAAGCATCATCTCAACAAGCTCAGTTACGATAGTATGGTAATTCATTCGTGTAGAGTTTGTTCGACCCAATTTTTTGGTATTTTACCACCTTGGCTCTCATTGTCCTATACAAGATATTTATCAGTTCCTCATTATGCTAGGGCATTTGCTCTAGCTCGCCTTAATGCTAACCCTTCTGAAGTATTGCATGGGAAGTTTTGTAACATACCATATTTAAATCATCTTTGTTCTGGTGGCCTGGTTAAAATTGATACTTTATCTCATAAAATTCTGGAAAGTTCCTTTTTTACTGTTTTTAGGAATCAATGGCTTTTATTTATTTAATTAATTTATATCCCGCCCGCCCTGCCGAAAAAGAGGATTTTACTTATTTTACCACATATGTCGTTCACCGATTCTCAAAGGGATGTGATTCCCTATGTTATGCTAGACAATGATCCAAACACCCTGTCAGTTGCTAAATTCCTGTCTATCATATTTTCCTTTAGAAACTGAGTACTTCTTTAATCACTGCTCAAGATCTATTGATCAGAGCAGCTCTGGAAAGGAAAGGAGTATTTAGAACATTCCCAGTAGCTTACTGGAAGCCAGTGCAGTTGGTAAAATATCAGAATGCTATGTCCCAAGCCGCCAGTCCTAGATAACAAGGGGAACAGCAAACTAATAGATATCAATACAGGGGGCTCCTGTATCGATGCTACACACTTTATGGTTAGAAATTTTCTCTTCTTGAGCGTTCTTCACCATCTCTAGCTCCACTAAGTTGGACCGCAGCCGAATTCTCTTAGAGATCAGTTTTTCCTGCAAAGAGAATGCCACAAGGGTTATTCTGGTAGGTAACCTAAGAAGGCGATTCACACCTATATCATGCCATGAACAACACAAGAAAGGCACGTGAAATATTGCAGTGGAGGGTTAGCATCCCACTTTGTACTTTTAGAAGATACCAACATATCAAGACTCTTCAAAACAAGCTGGGGACCTATCAGGGGGGCTGTGGCTCAGTAGAAGAGCCTCTGCTTTGCATACAGAAGGTCCCCGGTTCAATCCTTGGCATCTCCAGTTAAAAGGACTAGGCAGTAAGCAATGGGAAAGACCTCAGCCTGAGACCCTGGAGAGCTGCCGCCAGTCTGAGTAGACAATACTGATCTTGATGGACCAATGGTCTGAGTCAGTAGGAGCCAGTTTCATGTGTATTCACGCGTACAAAGAGTGGTATCTTGCGCTCTCTCTGCTTGGAAACAAAATATACATAAAGGAATCCATTGCTATGGCAGGCCTATGAGATTCCCCTTTTTCCGGCACTCAAATCTCAGCATTTAGAGAACTTGCACCCTTTCCCAGAGTAGCTTAAAATTTAACCGCAGGTCACACCGGAGAGGCCAGTTTGACTGACTTGTCTGTTGCCAAGCTGTAAGCTTCACAAATGGCTGAGCAGATGCTTGGATCGTATTTGGGTCTGCACAGCTGTAGACTATGCTTCTCCCGCAGCAAGAATACCACCTTGAATCATTCAACTCAGATTTTGGCACGATTTGTCGTTACTTGCAAAGGCCGCTAAGGTGCTTCTGATGAGTACAAATCCTTTTTCTGCAAAAGACCTGCTTGGTGAATACCATCGCACCTGTGTTGGCAACAGGATAAGTTTCTCTCTCTCAAATGTTAAAGCACCATACAGCTCTTTCTTGGATTAAAAATAGAAGCTCTGATACTCATATATAAGGTTGCACTGATTTCCACCCATTCCCCCCTAAGGACCTGGGAGAACTCCCCAGAAGGGTGTCACTACACAAGACTGGTGAGCACTACCACACAAAAAAAGCCCCAGTTTATATAGAGCCCATTCATTCAGTTAAAAGAGGGCACAATGGAACTTTCCTGCATTCCCCTCCTACTGAAGCAGGTTCAAGGTGTTGGGGGGCCTGGGCCTCCACGCGCGCCCCATGCCTTCCCCTCCACACCCCCGCATGCCCTCCACCTGCCCTGCTTCTCCTACTTGCAAGCAATGTTCCCTGTAAGCTGTGGGGTCGGGTGAGCAAAAGTTCTACTTTGTGGGCTACTGGCATTAAAGTTGTGAGCGAGCGATTTGGCTCCTGCATCAATTAGTTTGCTCTGGAGCCCTCCTTCCTGAGCTAAGCCAAAAATCTCTGAGCTGGAGGCTAAAAAACTGTGAGCTAGCTCACACTAACTCAGCTTAGAGGGAACACTGCTTGCTTGCCTTACCACTGTCCATGCTCAGTTGCCTGCATCGCCTGACAGTGCCACCAGGAGTGCTACCACGGTGCACCACCCACATGCCCTTCCTTAATGACCCTGGGCAGTTGGAAGCAGGGCTACAGGCAGGGAGGAGGGGAGGTGCATGGGTGGGGGTCAGCAGCAGGGAGCCCAGCCAGAAGTCCTGGGCCAGAAGTTGACACTGGCCCTGCACCGGAGCCCACTGACTGCCACCAAATGCTGCTGCTGGGGGGATAGGAGGCCCTGGGGAATGATAAAGGAGGTGTGCGGAGAGGGATGGAGGAATCAGTGGAAGCTGCCACTTTGGCCTGGATGTACTCCAGTTGCTTAAGCTGCCATTTGGGTTATCAGTTACCGTATAGATCTGCACAGCGTCTGGGATGAGGAGGAACTGGGTGCTTTGGTCTTCGGGCCTCTGAGCTTCCCTGCAGCTGAAGCAGGCAACTTTCCTGTACGGCTTCCAGTAGAGCGTCACTAGTTCGTTATGCTCCAGGCACTTCTGCTGGGCGCTCCCCGCGTGATAGCCCTTGAGCTTCTTCTCCACCATCTTCTGCAGCACGGGGTTCTCTATGTACCTTTTCTCCGTAAACCTCGTCTGGCATTCTGGGCAGACGAAGGCCCCCCTTTTCAGCCATATGTTCTCGATGCACAGTTTGCAGAAGTTGTGGCCGCAGGGCAGGATCATGGGCTCCCGGAAGAATTCTAGACACAGAATGCAGGTCAGCTCCTTGGTGAAATCCTCCCTTTCCACCTCCCATGATGAGATGGAAGCACTGCGGAAGTCGGGGCTGGGTTCCCTTTCGTTGCCAGACGTCAGCGAGGAGGTAGAGGGGGGGGAAGAGGACGTGGCGGTGCCAACGTTCACGGTAGCATCTTCCTGCCAGAATAAAAAGCAGCGGAATGAGATCTCCATTCTTGCCATGAGGCGCAGGTGTCAAAACGTCATGAAGGTGGTGCAAGAGCTCCATGTAACTGTAAAATAGGTAAAGGTTTCCCTTGCTCGAAAGCCAGTCGAGTCCGACTCTAGGGTTGCGGTGCTCATCTCCGTTTCAAAGCCAAAGAGCCAGCGCTGTCCGAAGACGTTTCCGTGGTCATGTGGCCGGCATGACTAAACACCAAGGCGCACGGAACGCTGTTACCTTCCCACCAAAGTGGTACCTATTTATCTACTTGCAATTTCTTGCTTTCGAACTGCTAGGTTGGCAGGAGCTGGAACTAGAGATGGGAGCTCACTCCATCACTGTAAAATAAGTGGCATCAATTTGGGAGCGCAAACAGGGATGCCAGCCTCTAGGTGGGGACTGGAGAGCTCCCGGGAATACAGCTCACCTCCAGAAGACAGAGATCAGTTCCCCTGAAGAAAATGGAAACTTTGGAGGGTGGACTCTATGGCATTGTCCCCCACTGAGGTCCCTCTCCTCCCCAGGTTTCACCTCCAAATATCCAGTTTTCCAACCTGGAGCTGGCAACCCAACCCCCCCCCCCCACACACACACACATACACAATAGTGGCCAAGGGGGACCTGGCGACGGTAGTACAAAAACCTGCAGTGACAAGGCCTTTACATACCCAGAGGTGCAAAAAATAAAAAGGCAACTTTCTTAATTAGCCCAAGGAGGGAAGGCGGCACGGTATAGCCCGATTTCGCCAGATCCTGGAAGGTAAGCAGGGTCAGTACGTGGAAGGGAGACCACCAACGAAGACTTTGCAGAAGAAGGCCATGGCAGACCACCTCTGCTTCCCGCTTGCTTTGAAAGCCCCTTGCTGCGGTTGCCATGGGTCAGCTATGTCAGATTTGATAGCGCTTTACAGACACACTAATTAACTCAAAGAACAACAAAGCAAAGGAGGACAGAGAGGAGGACAGAGAATGCACCATGAAACATGGCTGTTGAGAGGAGTGGAAGAACAGAAAAGGGGAGGGGGAGGAAGCCTGCTCATGCCCTAGAGAGGTTATAGAATCCTGGGGGAGAAGATTTGTGAGATGAAAGTGGAAAGATATTCCGTTTTTTCTTATGCTGAATCTATTCTTTTTAATTCCATCCTTGTTTTTTGTTTTCCGTTTAATGTAAGTTGTGTTAGAAAAATCTTAATAAATTGTTCAATACAAGGAGAGGGTTTCCAAACTGCTTCTCACCTACTGTTAAGTGCCCTCGGGCTCCGAACTTGTCCTCGATTATAGAAAACCTCCCCTTAGGTCTTTCTAGCCTTAAATACATTGTGCTTAGCAGCATGGCCAAAAGTACATGGCCAAATGTAAAAGTGATGCTGGCATGGCGAAAGAACACACTGTGGTATTTTGCACAAGCATTCAAACTTGGCTGCTACCCAGAGCAAAGCAATTCTACTTGTGCTTCATTAGCATACCAGCACAAGACCCATCAGGGCTACTAATCTCTTGGGGGCTAACTAGGGTTGTGTGTCTCCAGGTGGGGCCCAGAGATCTCCTGGAATTACAACAGATCTCCAGTCCAGAGATCAGTTCCCCTGGAGAAAACAGCAGCTTTGGAGGGAGGACTCTTTTGCATTAAACCCCACTGAGCACCCTTCCTTCCCCAAACCCCACTCTCCTGAAACTCCACCCCCCAAATCCCCAGGATGTTCCTAACCCAGGATTGGCGACCCTGTTGCCCCTCAGAACAGGGCTTACAGTTTACATTGGACAAAGGTGATGTCAATCAGTTATTCCAGCAACCACCCCTCCGTGCCCTGATCAATTAGCCCACCACACCAAGGTGGTGGAACGAGCTCCTGGAGATCAGGGCCCTGCGGGACCTTCTGCAGTTCCGCAGGGCCTGTAAGACGGAGCTCTTCCACCAGGCATTTAAGTAGGGGCTGCCACTACTGCAGGCCGTTACTGCAGGCTCCTACTGCAGGCCGTTACTGCAGAGCTTGGTCTGTGGTTTTAACATCTAACTGATTATGAGCAGAAACATCGTGGAACATCTGGGCAGTGGAAATTTATTCTAGTAATATACCATCTAGGTTAATTTAACAGCCACCAGCACTTTGTATTTATAATATTTTTATTGTATGGTTAAATATTGTGTAATTTTAATGTATTATGCTTTTATGGAAGCCGCCCTGAGCCCGCTTGCGGGGAGGGCGGGGTATAAATTTGATAAATAAATAAATAATTAATAATTAACCTTTTAACGATCTGTAGTGAATCAAGACCACTCTCTTCTTTGGGAGCTCATTTGTCAAAGGAAGCAAGGAAACTGGCACATCTTCCGGGAACAACGGCAAGAAGCAACGCCTTCTTGGGACTTCAGAGTCCAGCTTCTTTATTAGAGTAATATCCTGCTTTTCTCTGCAGTGGGGACCCAAAGTGCCTTAGGACACCATCCTCCCTCCTCTTTCTCCTCACAAAAACAACCCTGTGAGTTAGGTTACGCTGAGAGATTGACTAGCCCAAAGTCACACCGCAAGCGTGCATGGGAGAATAGGGACTCGAACCTGGGTTTCCCAGATCCTAGTCTGACACTCAAACCCCCCACATGTTTCCCACGGCCATCTATTTCCAGAACATCCTAATGACCCTTTGTGTACTTGGCTGATTCTTACTCACTGACCTTGTTTACCGAATCCGTGACTTTCACACCAGCCCCCGTGCCCTTTCCAGTGCACCACATTGCCCAGCCGTGGAGACGGTTGCCAGAAATTTCCTGTTAGGGGAGCAAATTTTTTGTTAACTGGGCAGTTTAGCAAGTGGAGAGCAGCCCAGAACTCCCGTGCTTCTATTTCTAAATAATTCAGTCAAGTGGTATATCACACAAAAATGTTTCAGGTTTATTACAAAGGTATGTACGTGTGGAACATATTGAGCACTCTTAACAAGTAACAGACGGCACACTTTTTCATCATCATCATCACACCTTCTCCACTCCACCAGTTTGATTTTACAAATCTCTGTGAGTTAAGCAGAATATAAATATATCAAAATACATTTTCTGTACACACAGCTCAGTGAGCCAAGCTGACCACAAACAAACCTCTACACAGCTCAGTGAGACAAATGGACCATAAATGCCAAATAATGATTAAAACCAACCACAGATTCTCTAAACTTTGAATTTGCTAAAGCATGCGAACCATTAGAGAACTGGGTTACCATTCCACCCTTTCCAGCCTACTGAACAATTAAAGTAGAAGTCGATCTGATTGGGCATGAAATTTGTCTATGAATGCATCCATACTGATGTTATTTGTGAATGATGTCTCATAACCTAGCAACACTAGGCTGTTTTCCCAAAGATGGGACTGTCATGGGCAGCAGCTAGAAAAGCTCTCTAATGGCTACCACCACTCTGGCATGGGTCTCCTTGGGAGGGCCCAGAGCACCCACCCTACCCCTTTATACACTCCTTCTCAAGTAGGTGTTGCCAATGTGCTAAGGGTGCTAAGGTTCTTTGACTTGTGTGGCTAGCCAATAAACCACACAGTGAAAACAATCATCCAGGCAGTAAAGGGTAACAAAAGTATTTATTCAAATAAAGGAGCACCTCACAGCTAGAATTCAGCGTGGGTGTTCAACGAGCAAATACAGACAGCAGACTTATATACTCTTCTTGCTCCTCCTCACTTTACATCATCACTGACATCACTTAGACATGCTCGGTTCAGATTTGTCTGGCTGGTCATCAATCACATATTTGGCACACAGGATGTTACTTGGCTGCACTTCAACCCCCACAATGCAGGTGCAGCGCTCATTATATTCATTATTTTTGATTTACGATTTTGTTTACTCCTTTTGGCTTTCCTCCCAGACTCCTGCTACCTTTGAATGAACTTTCAGACTGAGTTCATTTTCAGTATCAAATCTATCAGTTCTGTTAACACAATTGGTTTTCTTTTACATTTATATAGGCATACATGTTACAGAAACACCTTTGCTGGCATTTTGTAACCTATCTCTATTAAAGAATACATAGATACATTGAACTTCTAGAAAAATACAGCATTACAGCATTGTTTTCACAATTAAACCCTTTACATGAATTCTTTTAATGTTTTAAAATAGCCTGTGGCATGAAGCTCTTGTAGGTGCACCGAACCCATCTGTTAGTTTTCATTTTGGCCTATCAGGATATTTTTAATAATTTTATTAAGTTTCTTTTTGTCTAAATTAAAAGTGCACCACTTTATTTCAGTCAACAGAGGGTCGTCTTTTACAATACAAATTCTGTACTTGTTAATTGGCTTTTGGCAGATGTGCATGATTGGTCTCTGTGATATCATCTGCCTGCTAGCCATTTGATACTCCTTAAAACTTAAAAGCACAGAATAATGAGGTGTATATGACTGATAACTTTGTTTTCCCCAAACCTTCTGGAACGTCTCCTTTTAACTCAGCTTCTTTAATTGACCTGTCCTTCTTTAATTGACCTGTACTTTCATGTTGACTGGGTCATTTATACACACCTGGTATAATGTTTTCTCTTTAGGTCAGCAGTCTTTGCCTTAAGCTGAATAAACTTTTTTCTATAGCAGAACTTAAAATTGTTGAAGTTTTTGCTTTTTACAAACATCTTATACCATAATCTTGGTAAATATTCATCTTTAAACAAAAAAAGTTCTAAAA